ATAAAGACCTTTTCTCACATCAGTAATGCGTTTTGAGCAATAATAGAAAAACGTCTAAGTAGATTAATGCTTTGGCCATTCATTCATTGTGTTTGTGCTTCAGTTAGCGATTCTGAAATATAAAAACGTCGTCTGGGTTTCGAATTAGCACTCGTCACGTTCAGTTTTACAGAAATACACTTGCGAATGGTATGGATCTATTTTTCCTTCCCCATCTATGTGTTTAAATAGCTGGACTGATTCGGTTCTCTTGGCGTCAGTCAGTCAGTTATATGCCATGCGTGATACACTCTTAGGCGATCATGTACCTTTATATTAATGACTGACGAGGCAGATTTTTTCCGCAGTAGGTTGCCATTTCTCTCTGCGGTAGACCAGTTGCCATCCAAGGCTACAGAACTCGGTCTGTTCTGCTATTTACCCATAGCTGGGGGGGGGAGAAAAAGAGGATTCATACCTTTATCAAGGTTATTAGCACGTAAGTGAATGTAATGGATTTGAGTGGAATTTGAACTCGGTTCTCAGATTCTATGTATGTATACATGCACGTAAACATTTGTATGTATATATCGGTCAGTTATATGCCATACGTGGTACACGCTTAGGCGATTATGTATCTTTTGGTACTTGACTGACGAGGCATTTTATTTTTTCCTGCAGTAGGTTACCATTTATTCATCGGTAGACCAGTTGCCCTCCAAGGCTACAGAACCCACTCTGTCCTGCTATTTGCCCATAGCTAAGGGGAGAAGAAGAGGGTTCATACCTTTCCCAAGGATATTAGCACGTAAGTGAATCTAATGGATTAGGGCGTCAATAAAGCCTAGTGAAAGGAAAACTTTTCTTTCAAAAATCAGTGGGATACGCTCCAGTAGGCTATGTGTTCCCCTACAATCGTAATTGGTTACTGAACTCGTGACGTGTGGTGAATTGAACAAAGTAGAAGTTCACTGAACGAAGTTAATACGTAAAAGTGAGCAGATGATGTAAGATAGATAATGATTTGCTTTTAGACTTGAAGAGTTTAAAATTGTAACGAACGGTGAAGCACTCTCTCAGGAGTCTGCTCCAAAAAGTAACAGGCTTGAGGAAGAGGTTGATCTTCATCCATACCAATGGAACACGAAGAGAATGAGGAGGAGTCGACCCTGTGGACATGGCATGCCGAATCCCAGATGTGATGTTCTGAACTGGAGGAACTAAGGAATATATGTCGTCTGAACATTCACCATTAAAATAACGGGAACCGAGCAACGTTTCATCTCGGGGAAAGTGGTTGCAGCGTGGAAAATTCAATCACCCACAAGGCCGTGTAGATGTTTTTGAACTCTTGAATACTTTATCTGGACTGCAAATTTTCATAAGCAATTTGAGAGTAAAATTAAGATCAATTGTCTTTCGAAAGGTTCGAGCATTACTCAAGGTAGAAGATTAATGTTTAAGTGGTTATGATGGATAAGATGTATTATCAAATAACAATAGGAGGTGGTAGAAAGAGAAGATTATGAAGATAGGGAGGAGAGATAACTATTGACCTTTTGACTTGAAGAAATTGAGATTATCGTGTTTAGGGAGGCACCCATGCAGGTGTCTGCTCAACAAAGTGGCAATTCTTGGGGCCGGGGAAGCCGCATCTCGGTGGAACTTTCTTCCTACATTTGAAACACGGGGGATACGAGTTTGATTCAACTCCATGGATGTAGTATGGATTTTTCAAGTCGTAAACGTCTGAACTGATTATACTAAAGAATGGCGTTCATCTGAATATTTGCCATGGAACTGGAGATAGTGTGGCGACAGGCTTGTGGGAATGGCGCTGTAAACTGGACAATAATTCTTTACACACAAGACAGTGTAAACGATATTGAACTCAATGAAAAGGTAAAAGAAATGAGGAGTGAACAACTCCAATCATTTTTGGCCAGATTTTTCTAATTAACCTCATAACTGGAGGAGAAGAGGTGGATTTATACCATTTCCAAGGTAAGTGAATATAACGAACCCAACTGGTATTGGAACTCGCCTCCCCGATTTACAATTCCAATCTATTATCGATTACACCAACCTCACATCCAAGTTCACAGTGACTGGTATTCGCAAACCATCACCTATCTAGCTATTGTCCAGGCCGAGATTTTTAGCAATGTATTGTATGTTTGAGGTCTGCGTGTAGTCTGGGGTGAACTTGAGTCCGAATCGACGTTCAAAGAATGACACCTGATTGAGAGTGCAATCGTTTTATCGGCACTTGAGTCTGAGTATCATGATATCAGTACAAATTTCATAACAGATAACGCCCAAAAATTAAGCGGAAATCGTAGAATAAAGAAATCCAAACAAACCAAATTTGTAAGAAAAGGCGAAATAAGGCGGAATAAAGGCACACTTACCCTAAGGCAGTGGTTCCGAAATGTTTCATTCTCAGGGCCGCATTTTAGGAATTAAAATCTGTTCGCGCCTCACCAAATTTCATGTAATAGAAAAGAGATTTAAAAATAAAAATAATGCACAGTGAGGTTTAAAGGGAGATAACCGTGGATTCGAAGTTAGAAATTATCATTGATAACTCTCTCCTCCAAATTGCGGACCTTCGTTATTAACTTCTGAATACTTGAGATAATGCAAAAATCACAATGATAAAATTAGTCAATAAATTTTATATCTATTTATAGTGGGACTCATGCATGGAATTATAAGTAATCTGTAATAATATATTAACTTTTGAAATCAAATTTATTTTTGGCAAATAAATTTATTGAAACTGTTTCTAAATCTTTGATTGTTTTTCAATCATTCCGCCTGCTAACGTCTTCCGCCTCACCTGCTATCCTCTTCCGCTTTATCTGTTATCCCCTTCCGCCTCACCAGCTATCCTCTTCCGCCTCACCGGCTATCATCTTCCGCCTCACCTGCTATCCTCTTCCGCTGCATCTGCTATCCTCTTCCGCCTCACCTGCTATCCTCTTCCGACGCGCCTGCTATCCTCTTCCGCCTCACCTGCTATCCGCTGACGCCGCACCTATTATCCTCTTCCGCCTCACCTGCTATCCTCTTCCGCCTCACCTGCTATCCTCTTCCGCCTCACCTACTATCCTCTTCCGCCTCACCTATGAGGAGTGTCGCACAGTCTGGGAATCACTGCCCTAGGTAGACAATTTCGTCTTAATATAAAATGAAGTAATTTCAATAGAACCATTAAGGCAACATTAACTTCGGTAGATTATTTTTCGTTATTATTAACTAGCGAGATCATTTCCGGGTAGACGTCAGACTCTTGACTAATATTATCCTGAAACAAATTCCTCGACTGGAAGGGAAGTAATAAATTAAGGAGTTCAAGACCAGGTTTTGTGAAAATTATTCTTTCTTTGGGAATTTTAATTTACGAAAAAACAATTCTCAGGTAATTGTAGGTTATTCAGCCTTGAGGAATAAGCTTATATTTTCTTTCAAAAACATTTTTTTTCATTTACTTAATTATAACCGCTGACATCAGGTAAGAATCCAAAATCGCTTCACTTCAAAATCTGGTTGACAATATTTTCGACGTATGAGAATTAAATGGCGTGTTGATGCCCTATTTATGTTTTTGCAGACATTGGCTTTTATGGCCACCTTTATGCCCATTCAGTATACCATTTATAGCAAAAGGAAGAACATCTAGCATCTTCATTTAAGTGTCTACAAGAATGACGTTAGAGTTCAAACACATTTTCAAAATAGAATCACATATTAAAGGATTAAACAGACATTTAGACTCACTCAGAGAATATAATTTCCACAGAGAGCCTTCTACAAGGTAAACTTCTAGGACCAAACTAGCACATTTCTTACAGTAATGCAACACATATGAAAAAATAACAATAAAAACAACAAAAACAACAACAAAATACTCCGGAAGAGTGAGTCCCACTTCTTTTTTTTTTAATTTATTTCTCGTCTCGTTGAAAAAGAACACAAGAAGTGTCCGAAAATTCCGACTTTAAAATCTTTCTTTTCGTGGTTCGGTTTAGTCAAAGGGACAAATATATAATAAATATCATCAAGTCTTATTGACAATATTTTTATCATTTTGTTGTCTTTTTATTCCTTGAATTTCATTAAACGATCTATTAAATTTCTCTCTTTCTTTCTCTCTTTCTCTCTCTACATATATATATATATATATATATATATATATATATATATATATATATATATATATATATACATACATACACACACACACACACACACACACACATATATATATATATATATATATATATATATATATATATATATAAAATTACTTAACGTTTAAATATCAATTTTATCCCGACATCGATGTTTCTTGGTAAAATTTTCAGTCTTCAGAGGTTGTTGTTTTAAAAGGGTTTCCAATGTTTTTTTTCAATTTTTTTCACTTTGTTCCGCGTCTTTTTCAATCCGCTTTTTATTCCGTTTTGTGCGAATTTAACGTTCTTTTACACCCTCATTATATATATATAAATATGTGTGTGTGTGTGCGTGCGTGTATTTATATATAATTCACAATTAATTCAATTATTATATAGATTTTAAGATAAATAATATAAAACAAGAATATTTTGCTTTATTTTTTGTTTTCTTATAAGAGGTCTGTCATTTTATTGGGCCTTTGATGCAGAAAGTCGAGTGATGTGTAAGAATTATTAGTGATACTTATTAATTACACCTTCGACGTGAATGTAAAGATTCTAATCATACATAAGTGAAAGTAAAAGTGAAAGTAAGTCTATTAGTTATTCTATTGCTATCGTTGTTTACTCGAGTCATTAATGAATCTGATAGGTTAAAGTAATATTATTATTCATCTTAGATAATGAATGTTGGCCAGATTATCCAAGGAAATAGAAGGTCAATTTATGAGAAAATGAAAGAGTGCCTTAAAAAAGGAAGAGAGAGAAAAAAGCAGAAAGAAGAGGAACCATGAAACGAAATATCAAAAACAGAAAATAGTTAAAAGAAGAAAAATAGTTCTAAAGCGAGAGAGCGATAGATAGATAGATAATGAAAGACTGAGATAGATAGATAGATAGATAGATAGATAGATAGATAGATAGATAGATACAAACAAACTGAGATAGATAGATAGATAGATAGATAGAAAGAATCAGACTGAGATAGATAAAGGGAGAGGCACATAGATACAGTCTGAGATAGATAGATAGGTAGATAGATAGGTAGATAGATAGATAGATAGATAGATAGATAGAAACAGACTGAGATAGATAGATAGATAGATAGATAGATAGATAGATAGATAGATAGAAACACACTGAGATAGACAGATAGATACAGACTGAGATAGATACAAATAGACTGAGATAGATAGATATGATCATCTTTAGATAGATAGATAGATATATAGATAGATAGAGAGAGAGGGGGTAAGAGATGATAACAGATAAAGGGAAAATGGTAGGACGAGAAAAAGAAAGAGATATAAAAAAGCAAGTAATACTGCAAAGTAATAATGAAAAAGAAAGGGAAATTGTTGTAACGAGGCAGTGGTAGAAATCGAGGAAAAGATCAAGAAAGGCGAGAAACGAGAAAGATGAAAAAAAAAGGATAAATGATGAAATAATGACACCAATAAAAAGGGAACTTAACAGAAAAGTGACAAAAGTAGCGAAAGAAAACAAACCAGAAATAAGAACCAGAAAAGGATGAGAAGAAGAAAAAAAAAAGATAGACAGACAGTTAATGAAAACGAAATGTACAGAGTCATATGTGTTAGAATGATGCAGAGAGATGGTGAAAGAAAGAAGGAATTAAGAAAGCGAAAGTGAGGCTGTGAAAAGAGAGAGAGAGAGAGGGAGAGAAAGAGAGAGGAGGAGAGAAAGATAGTGAGGGGTGTATGTGAGATGGTACAATGTATTTCTAAAAAAATATATCGAAAATAAAAATAAACCAGAAACAATTGAATCAATAAATAGAAATGAGAACAAAACACATCGAAAATATTTTTGTGAAACTGTAGAAGAAAGTACCGCAGGACAGAAGTGAAAAAAAAAACGAGAAAAAAAAAGTACAAAAGACGATTAAAAACTAAACGACACTACAAAAAATATGTGAGAAAAAGCAAAACTTTCAGTATGACATCAGGTGGTAAGTTGGCCGTGCACATGAACTGTGAAACAGCAAAAACCAATAAAACAACATAAAAACCCCATTAACATTGATAGCTTTAGAGATGTGAATGGGTTGGTAGAGGGTGAGAGGGAACAGCGTTCCTTTCTTCGGCGTTTTCAATTTTGCACAGAGTCACATCCTGCGGGGCTTTTACAGAGAATACTTATCTGAAATAATCACATATGTGTACCGCGGCGTATTATATATATATATATATATATATATATATACGATGACTTACAAACACACACGTTTTTACCCTAAGACGGGATTACTTGCACATATATCCGCGCGACTACATAACTATTACGACAAATGATACAAAGAAAAACCTGCATGAGACCACGTTTCGACACATAACTTACTCATGTATACACACAGTCAACCCTCATATATATATATATATATATATATATATATATATATATATATATATATATATATATACTTTTATAACGCTCATGCCAAAAAATAATACTAAAGTGAAAAAGTATGTAGTATTCTAATTCATATCGTAAAGTAATATTTATTTAAGTATAATATATATGGCAATGTAAAGATTTTAAATCAATTTGATATCTTATTCAGTGTATTGTCCTAATCTTTGTCGACCATATTTATTACAACGTTTCGGCCGTTGTACGCTCCGCCCTTCTTCAGGTGGTTGGAATGTCGAACTGAACCCTTTATTTCGCTCACTGGGTTAGAATGTTCTAGTTTCACGTGCCATGTTTAATGGATGCCAGTTATCAGTTATCTCCTTTTAATTTCCCTCTGAAAGTTCTCCACTGCCTTAAACGGGTATTGAACTCACACTCTTTGTGTCCTGTCACTGGATCTAACAGACGCCTTTATCCACTGTGCCGTGTGTCCTCAGGGAAATTAAAAGGAGATAACTGATAACTGACATCCATTAAACATGGCACGGGGAACTAGAACAGTCTAGTCTTTTGCTACTAATATTACAGAGCAGCGTACATGCCTAGCGGAAATGGTATCGTAGAACAAAACCACCGAACTATAAAAGTCATTGCCGAGAGAGGAGGGATATCGCCAGCCGAGGCGGCATTTTGTTATAATATGTCACCTAAATCTGGCCAACGTGAAGACACTGTGCCGCAAAGAGCAATTTACACATACTAATGGAGGCATCCGAGAGTTAGATCATGTTTAACACACTCTAACGGGTCTGAATCTATAGGGATTGGAGAGGAGGTCCGCTGCACGACAAAATGGACAAAAGGAACGCTTACCGGGGCGCATTTGCGCAACAATGTTGCGGTGGATGGCAAGACAAGACATGTTCTTGACCTTAGAGTGATTCAAGAGAATTCAGAGAATGATGGAGACATTGGGAGAAGTTCTCATGAGGCTCAGCTCCAAACACTGCAGATATCGCAAAGAGAGCGACACCCACCCGGATGTATGGATGATTATGTAACATGAGATGTGATCATGAGATCAGGGGAGCGTATAGGTTGAAAAAAAAAAAAGAATCTTACCTCATGGACGTCCGTACGTAAAAAGAATCTTGTGGAGAAGCCATATTGTTTTTATACTGACAAATTAACGCAAAATCACGGCGACCACAAGATTTGAGAAAATATAAATATGCAGTGTACGAAAGAGGCGGGAAAAAAAGGAAGTTAGTCTACAAAAGACGAGACAATACGAATATATATATATATATATTACCAACTGCTTGGTATACAAATTCAGATATGGCCGTGAGCACGTCAATGTGAGACAGGGCAACGTGGAAACCAAATTGCTTGTCAGAGATCAGATCAGGAGGTTAAGTGCTTAACCCCGTCAGCGTTGATTAAAGCTTCGACGACTTTACAGAAAAGTGGTAGGAGACTGATTGGACGGTAGTTAGATGGGTCAGAAGGGTCTCCAGGGTTCTTGAAAAGTGGGACAACAGATGAGGACTTCGAACAGTCAGTAAGGCAATAATTATATAGCTTGGAGAGGACTAGGACCAGTTCAGGAGCACATTTCTTCAGAACTATGGCTGGTATGCCATTGATAGGGTTATATTTATCTCGCTCAATAGAGCCTCACACACACACACACACACACACACACACACACACACACACACATATATATATATATATATATATATATATATATATATATATATATATATATATATATATAATCATACTATTGGTTGGTTCCAGCATTTACAAATGAAATTGGATGAATGGGACCGTCGGTGGTTTTACTAGCACGAAATCATAAGTCATCGTGACCGAGGGTTTTAACGTACTGGGCTTTTTCAAACTTTCTCACTCCTGGGGGTGGGCTATTTCCAGGCTCTGTAAAAAAAGAACCGCTCAGTATAGTTGCAATATAAACCGCCGGTGTGCTCTGTGGGTTTTGAACAAATACCAATATCTTTGAGCAGGGAGTTGGCTAATCCTACATAGCAGTTTGTTTTAAGCATGTCTCCCTCTCAGCAATGTGGCAGTGCCACTTGCACTCAAGGTGTTACATAGAGCAAAAGTAAAGAGGGGTGTTTTGGGAATGCATAACGTGAAGAATGGTTAACAAGATCAAGGAATCAGATGATGTCGATTGACATTACATTTAAATATATGAAGATTATAGCTATCAGGGAAACAACTAAGAGGAAGGGAGTTCCACTGTCGGGAAGTGTGAGAAGAAGCTGTTGGAGTAGAAGGGGCTAATACATTTAACCGTTTCGACAGTGAAATGGTGGGACAGAGATGCCAACCTATTACCACGCTTAAGTTCATGCAGTTTGGGAAGAAATGAAAGTAGGTCGTCAGAGCAGTTTCCATGAAAATACTTGTAGAAAACGTTTGTGAGAAAGTGACTTTAGATGAGTTGCCAGATCAGGACCTTTCACATTGCATATCCGTCTCTGGATTCTGTCGAGGACCTCGAGATGAACAGCGGCTGACACGAGACCATATATATGGCAGCAATATTCAATGCAAGGACAAATGGTTGATTTGTAGATTTGAAGGATGGATTCAGGCGAGAAAAAAACCTTCTGGCGCGACACAGAGAACCAACTTTCCTCGCGGTAGATGAAGCTATTGATTCAATGTAGTTGTTATACCTCAGGTCAGTGGAAACCGTGAGACCAAGCAGACGCGGAGAGGCGATCTCGTGGAGTTGGGCATTCAGCCATTCTGATGGAAGGTAGGGAGCGTTCTCTATGGTGGGTAAATGAGAGAACTTTCGTTTTTGAGGCATTAAAGTTTACAAGACATTTCTTGCCCCAGTCAACCACAGATTAGGACCCTTTTCGAGATCAACTGTCAGGTTAGTTTTGTTAGCGATGCCGTATTTACTATTGAGGCAGGAGTAAATGGCAGTGTCGTCTGCATAGATGCCTACTTGGGAACTGATAATGATCAGAAACAGTGTAGGGCCCAGGATAGTGCCTTGCTTTGACAGGAATGATTGTATTAAGTCAAATAATCGTCCTGTAATGCCGTATCCCTGAATTATACGAAAGAGGCCGGCACGACAAACCCTATCAATCGCTTAGAGATATCTAGAGCCACAGCTCAAGTTTCTATGTTATTGTCAAGTGTTTGCTATACAAATTCAGATATGGCCGTGAGTACATCAATGGTTAACCGGGTAAAGCGGAAACCATATTGCTTGTCAGAAAGCTGATCATGGGATGTAAAGTGCTTAACCACTTCAGCGTTGATTAAAGCCTCGAAGTCTTTACCGAAGAGTGGTAGGAGACTGATAGGATGGTAGTTAGATGGGTCAGATGGGTCTCCAGGGTTCTTACAAAGTGGGACAACAGGTGAGAATTCGAACAGTCAGTGAGACAATAGTTATATAGTTTGGAGAGGACTAGGCACATTTCTTCAGAACTACGGCTGGTATACCATTGATAGGGTTATATTTATCTCGCTGAATAGAGCCTCAGTTCCAAGGTGGAGTTGGGGGAAAATCATGTGTGGGTACTCTGGGTGAGTCGAGGGTTGAATTGGATTAGAGTTTCCGAGCAAAACATTCAGTCTTATCAGATGAGAAAGTCGGGACCTCAAATTGATTGAATAGAGGAAATATTGTGGATTCTCTGTTGTCCAGCAGGCTATTGTAGATCCGCCAATAATCTTTAGAACCAAACTTGCGAGATGCAATACGTTGTTTCATTCTATCAGCAAATAGCATTCCCTACGAGCGGAGACAAAGAGACATCTATTCTAATCGGATATATCGCTCCCTTACAGACGGAAGAAGTGATTCCTATGGGAACCAAGGAGATGAGAGCGATTTTTTTATATTTTCTTGCAGGGATGAAGGCCTCGATGCCAGCTTTTACCCAAGAGGAGACATGAGACGCACATTTTTGAACGAGGTGGTTAAAAGCCACATTCCAGGGGATGTAATGAAGGAAATCACGGAACGAGTCCTAGTCTACTCGTTGATAACAGAAAGATATTCTGTTAGTAGGAGGTTCATGTCTGGAGGATGAGTGGAAAGAGATGCCAACTGATACTACCGCATGATCAGTGTTTGCCAAGGGGCCAGAGCTGCGTAGCTTCACATGAGTCAGGGATAGAGGTAAAACAGAGATCGGGAAGGGAAGGGTTACCGTCCGGGTTACTGGGGAAACGCGTAGGAAAGTCAACCACTTGCCTGAGGGATTGAGTGATTGAAAAGTTAAGGGTTTAGATGCCAGCGAGGTTAGTTACAGACTGTTTAAGACACATGGTATGGTGGACGTTAGAGTCACCGAACACGATATGTTTGCAAACGGATGTAGAGAGATGGTTTTGTCTATATTATCTGGAATGCTATCGGGTACACCACAGTCTTGGGAGGTAGGAGATCGATAGAGAAAGAAGAGAAATCTTACAGAACTGAGGAGAGATAGACGGAGACATATATGAATAGTCTGGAGATTCAAGAGAGAGAGAGAGAGAGAGAGAGAGAGAGAGAGAGGGGAAAGAGAGAGAGAGAGAGAGGGAAAGAGAGAGAGAGAGGGAAAGAGAGAGAGAGAGAGTTCCTCAGCCAGCGGGAGATGATCGCGGATATAAACTCGCATGCCATACATGTGGATTTTAGTGTTCTTTCTAAGGAGAGGAAGGTAGCCAGGAATCGAGAAATCTAGAGGAAGGGATTGACGTTTAGTCTCGCAAAGAGCTAATATATCAGGAAATTTTTCGAAGAGGGAAGATTCCACACTGTAGAAGTTATCCTCGGACATGACATCTGTCCCGTGGCGGTGGTATGTCCGAAGATTCATTGCCCTAAAGAGGTAGGTTTGGTGGACAGTGGTCGCTGGGAATGGTCAAGTTTTGGCCTTAGCCCATATGTAAAAGTATGAGAACTCTATATTAAACCGACATGTATACGAATGGTCTGAAAAGAGAGTTCCCTAGCCAGCGGGAGATGATGGCGGATATAAACTCCTAGTCTATGCATGTGGATTTTAGAGTCCTTTCCAAGGAGAGGAATGTAGCCAGGAATCGAGAAATCAAAGCAACGGATTGACATTTATTCTCGCAGAAAACTAATATACTGGGTGTTTCAAAAAGAATACGCCAAAATCATCACGTGATGTGTCAAAAACGAAAAAAATTAAACCTCTAGCATGAACACATGTGTTGTATGTACATTCAAGTTTCATTTCATGTTTTATAAGTGCTCAATGTGGCCACCACCGGCAGCGCGGATAACATCAAGCCGATATGAGACTTCCTCCCAAAAGCGCCTTAGCATGTCATGGTCCACCGTGTTGATTGCAGCTGTTATTCGATCTTTCAAGTCATCGATACTTGCTGGAAGTACTGGAACATAAACTTGGTCTTTAACATACCCCCACAAGAAAAAGTCACACGCAGTGAGGTCCGGAGATCTGGCAGGCCAAGCACAGAGAGCAAGGTCTTTTAGCACCTCTCCTCCCAATCCATCGCTGAGGCACGTTTTCATTCAGATAAGCTCTAACCCCGAGATGCCAATGGGGTGGTGCTCCATCTTGCTGAAAAATGAAGTCATTCGAATCTGCTTGCAGTAAAGTGAATAGCCATTTTTGGAGCATTCCGAGATAGGTTTGTCCTGTAACGGTGTTTCCTTCAAAGAAAAAAGGACCATAGACCTTGTCTTGAGACACAACACAGAAGACGTTCACTTTAGGGGAATCTCTTTCATGCTTAACAGTTTCATGTGGGTGCTCTGTACTCAAGCACGCAAAACGCCTTCTGCAGAGGAGTCGCCATTTTGATTGATCTTCCCACAATTCAGCTGCACCGGAAGTTATAATAACAACAGCTGTGAAACTGACACCCAATCAAACT